GGATCCACAGGGCGAAGAGAGAAAATCAAGTTATTTCTGAATTTGTTATTAGAATATATTTTGAGCGTTACGTCATTTACAGGAGTGTCATCGAACACAGACAGAAAATAATCATTTATTTCGCAACTATTGTTTAATTCTTCAGGCAAGGAATTACAATTACTTTTGATAACATTCAGTTTTCTTAATGCTTCCCAGCAATTCGAAGTGCCACGCCTTTCCATCATATTAATATACACTTTTTTTCCCTACGCAGCGAGGCAAGTGCAAAATTTCGTAACTCCTTATAATGAGACCAATTATCTGGTGTTTTATCACGTCTATATTTTGAAAATGCCTTGTTTCGTTCGGCCATTATCCTTTTAACATTTTGCGTCATCCATGGTGCAGAACATTTATTCATTCGCGCTGTTTTTATTGGTGCGTGCATATCAAAAAGTTTTATCATATTGTATGTTAAAAATTGAATTTTTTTATCTACATTGAGTATATACAAAATACTGTCCCATGGAACACTTAAAAGATCATCGTAAAATAAATCCGACTTTAAATTTGTGAAGTCCCTATAGGTATACATTTTTTGAGTTCGTTTAACAATTTTATGGCCAATCGATGATTAGAAATATGGTCAATATTAATAACATTACAAAAATGTACTAAATCAGCTTTGTTTACAAAAACAGTAGAAGAGTGTGAAGTTACATGCGTTGGCTCATAAACAACTTGATAATACCTAAGCATAGACACTGCAGCATAGGCTTAGACCATTATTTAAATTAAACATGTCAATGTTTACATCCCCAGTCAATAGAATTGTATCATATACAGGGCGATTCAGAACTTATCCAAAAAAAAAAATCTGGATGTACAGGGGACCCTTACAAATACAATTTTGTAAAGAAAAAATCAAGAAGGGCAGTTCGAAAATGATTTAAAAATACACTTTTGCACGGCATTGGAAGCTAGTCCACTGTAAAACCTGACCCCGCAATGCGACCGGCATGGCGCTGTAATATTTTACACTATTTTTTAACACCCTGTATATTTAAAAGGACAAACAAACAAAGTAAACTGTTTACTGAAACAAAACAATTAAGTTAATTATTAAAAATAAATTAAGTTAATTATACAAATCAATTTGCAAAAGAAAGAGACTAGAGAAAAGCATGTGCATGTGTCAGTGAGCCAGGCACTCCACTAAGGGATTTTTTTAAATTTCTGCGGAATGCAGTTGCTGAAAGGTTTTTAAAAGACCTGTCTAAAGAATTATAACTATAAACGGCGTAGTAAGAATAAGACTTTTGAAATCCAGCTGTAAGATGTCGCTGATGCCCAGCGCTCCGTACATTAACTTCATGAATATTATTTCGGGTAATAAGTTTGTTCTTTAGATAAACTGGTGAGGAGGTTGCGAGTAACTGGTGTGTGAAAGTTTGAAGTTCCAACTTCCAATATTCTCTGATCTGAAATCAGTTCTCTGATTTTATGTGTCACATGATCTCACTTACGCAATTTAAATATAAACCAACAGCAAGTGTTTTGCACTTTTTGAATTCGCACTTTAATCTAAAAAAGGATAGTACATTATTAAACAGTAGTAAAAAATAGGTAGTATCATAGTTTCACATAATTTTTTCCTAACTCTAAAGTTTATAATACTGCTATTTGCAAAAAGAACTTTCAGGCGAACATAAGATTTTTTCAAAAGTGAATTAACATGACTATTGAATTTCAACTTATTGTCGAAAATTATACCCAAATTTTTAGCTTCTTGTGAAAAGGTGAGATCGGAACCGTTTAATTTTATACATAAGTTGGAAATAAGATAGTCATAAAAACTACGAGAACAGTATAATAATGCCGATGATTTTTCAGCATTCAGTTTCAAATTATGATTTTTACTATACTCAATGAGTGACTTAAGGTCCGAGCTTATTTGCTCACTTGCTTGCTCTACATGTAAAGGGTCAAAATTATATAACATTTGGGTATCATCAGCATAACACTGAATTGTACAAAAATTGATGTGATATTTTAAATCCATAGTATAAATAATGAACAGAAAGGGTCCCAATATCGACCATTGAGGAACTGCTGACGTTACAGGTCTAGCATTAGATGTTCCACTATTAGTTTTCACTCGTTGCACACGATTACTTAAATAGTGTTTGAAAAATTGTAAAGAAGTTTTATCAAGACCATAATAACTTAATTTTGATATCAATAAAGGATGATTAACTAAATCGAAGGCTTTTGAATAGTCCAGAAGTATTAACGTAGCTGCTCTATGTATGTCTCTAGCACGAACAATATTATCAGAAACATTTAACAAAGCCGCATAAGTACTATGGCCAGATCGAAATCCAAACTGATGGTCCGGAAGGAGATCGTTGGTTGCCAAATATTTTTCAGGCTACAAATAAATAACTTTTTCTAGAATTTTACTAAAAATAGGTAAAAGGGAGATGGGACGGAGCTCTTTATAAGTAGTCGGATTTGTGATTTTAGAAATGGGGCATATTAATGACTCTTTCCATGCTGACGGAAAATAACCAATTTCCATACAACAGTTGACCAAATCAGTGATGTAGACGTATATAACTGGAAGGCACCATATAATCATATACAAAGAAGTACCATCAATGCCAGCTGCATTCGATTTAATATCATTTATTATTTCCAAAACATCTTCGGGATCCACAGGGCGAAGAGAGAAAATCAAGTTATTTCTGAATTTGTTATTAGAATATATTTTGAGCGTTACGTCATTTACAGGAGTGTCATCGAACACAGACAGAAAATAATCATTTATTTCGCAACTATTGTTTAATTCTTCAGGCAAGGAATTACAATTACTTTTGATAACATTCAGTTTTCTTAATGCTTCCCAGCAATTCGAAGTGCCACGCCTTTCCATCATATTAATATACACTTTTTTTCCCTACGCAGCGAGGCAAGTGCAAAATTTCGTAACTCCTTATAATGAGACCAATTATCTGGTGTTTTATCACGTCTATATTTTGAAAATGCCTTGTTTCGTTCGGCCATTATCCTTTTAACATTTTGCGTCATCCATGGTGCAGAACATTTATTCATTCGCGCTGTTTTTATTGGTGCGTGCATATCAAAAAGTTTTATCATATTGTATGTTAAAAATTGAATTTTTTTATCTACATTGAGTATATACAAAATACTGTCCCATGGAACACTTAAAAGATCATCGTAAAATAAATCCGACTTTAAATTTGTGAAGTCCCTATAGGTATACATTTTTTGAGTTCGTTTAACAATTTTATGGCCAATCGATGATTAGAAATATGGTCAATATTAATAACATTACAAAAATGTACTAAATCAGCTTTGTTTACAAAAACAGTAGAAGAGTGTGAAGTTACATGCGTTGGCTCATAAACAACTTGATAATACCTAAGCATAGACACTGCAGCATAGGCTTAGACCATTATTTAAATTAAACATGTCAATGTTTACATCCCCAGTCAATAGAATTGTATCATATACAGGGCGATTCAGAACTTATCCAAAAAAAAAAATCTGGATGTACAGGGGACCCTTACAAATACAATTTTGTAAAGAAAAAATCAAGAAGGGCAGTTCGAAAATGATTTAAAAATACACTTTTGCACGGCATTGGAAGCTAGTCCACTGTAAAACCTGACCCCGCAATGCGACCGGCATGGCGGTGTGATAAAAAAACTGACAAAAACTTTTGCAAGGAAAGAAATATGTAAATAGAATTTTATCGCACCTATTTTATATCGGCAAATTCAACTGCTTTTGCCTTTATTAATTAATAAAATTAATTTGTGTTTTTAAATAATAAAATCATTTGACATACCCGATGTTACAACAATTGTTCAAAATTTTATCCACCAATGTGTAAACACATTTGGGTCCGTTGTACTCAGTTTCTACGAACTAACACAAATGTTGTTTGTTTCACCATAAGACAAATGCTTCACCATAAATTAAAAAGATATCCATCATCTCCGAGTACACGCAAACCATTTTTGACACTAACTACCCATTTTTGACACTAACTACTAAAAACTAACTGTAAAAACCACAGATAACAGGTAAATATCACAACGACGATTGCAAAATCCGAATTCAGTATTCGGAGTCGCTGAGGCCACGTGGCGAATGACGCTAGAGACTACAGTTGTCCAGCTATGTAGTGGTTGAATGTACTATAACTTCAATATTTTTTTTCTCGGAAACTATAAGAATTTTACAAAAAATTTTTTTACGATATTGATTCCACTTCTCATGCTGCATCTTTTCCCAATTTTTTTTGGATGAGTTGTGAATCACCCTGTATAGGTGTTAAATATGATAAAGCATTATCAATGTTATTTAATGAATATTCGAACGGGAAGGCCTATAGACAGTGCCCAATATAATAATTTCGACGCCGATTTTAATTTTTAACCATAAACACTCAAGATACTCTTCGTTATCGATATCCACAGTTATAATTTCACATGAAAATAAATTCGAAACATACACAGCCCCACCTCCTCTACCATCAATGCGATCACGACGAAATAAATTAAAACCACGGATGGCAACTGTCTCAAACGACACAACAGCTGACAACCAAGTCTCAGTAAAGGAAAAAATATGTATTTTATGTTTAGTAATAATATCAGACGGAGATACTGTACAAAGTAATAGCTTTGTGTTTGCTGTACCTTCAGAATACTAAAATATATAACCAAAAAAATTGTGTCCTCTAGTAATGATTATTAAAAATGGAACACCGTTTTCAGATTTTAATTATTAATTTTCAAGAAAAACGCGTATCGTAAGATACATCAATGATCCCATTCAACGGCTAATCGTATTTCTGGATCTAGGTTTATTTTCATAGTTTATAAACACACACCAAACTTATGTTAGGTCGGGAACAAACAAATGCGTCATGTGTTAATCATAATAGTTATTTTCGTACTAAAAACGGATAAAATAAGGCTACTTACCTGTTCAAACACACTTAAAAATATATTACAAATTCATTCAAACTATTTAAAAAGAAGCTACAGTTTCACACGCATGTAGCTCGCAGTCCAACACAAGGAGCACTGGAACTGAACTTGAATTTTATTACTTTTTTCATGAATATATATCGTATCGGCCGCAACAACCATCCAGACAGCGCGGATTCGTATTCGTTTAGAGTCCCACCTAACGTTCAATCGCAATAGATCACTTCCTCTGAATTGAGTGTTATGGGACTGATAATTAATACGATATGCATATATTAGTTAAGCCAACGGGGAAACCCAAACTAGGCTTCGACGGAACGAGTGTCGTGTTCGATGGGCGAAACTGAGAAGTGTTTATTTATTTATATTAGTATTATCAGATATTACTGATATTAGGCTTATCATCGTTGGTAAGGTTGTAGTTGAAATGCTGAAATCATTCAAAATATCTTGTTCCCAACAGAAAAAATCTGTTTGTGACTAGTAATGGATGCAACAAATGTTTGTATAAAATCAAGCCAATGTGATATAAATATGAGAGTTTATTTTTAAACCTGCATTTCAAGGACTTTCTTTCCCCTGTGTTAAAAAATAAGTTTTTGTAATTACTTTAATCATTTTAAGAGAAGTTCATATAAACCTATGTTCAAAAATTACTAAACAACTTAGATTTAGAGTAACTACAATTTTACATATGCAAGCATTTACGTATATCCGAAGATATTTGCGTAGATACTTTTGAAAATAAAGCTAGTAAAATAGAGGTAAAACTTACTGAATTTGTGTATAATTGTGTCTATCTAATAGCGGTAGGGATATTGGGAAGCGCCACGATTTTATTTTTATCCATTTTATCCAGAAAACGGGGCCATTGTTGTTATAATTTTTAAAAAACTTAAATTTGCTTACTACACAATTGGATAAATCAACAATAACTCAAAAATTACTAATTTCGCAGAAAAATGTACAAATCTTGGCTTGGCTTATACAGGGTTAGTCAGAAAGGATGGGTCAACACTAAGCTGGACTAGACCCCAAAGACACTCGACACCAAAATATTATGTTTGAGCTCATTATACGAATGTCGTGAGAATTACGAATTTGAAACTTATTTTGACGTTGCTCCTAGAGGAAACTAGTTTTACCATATTATTTACGTAAATTAAAACATATTTTTTTTTATCTGTTGAGCTATGCTTAAAAAAAGTTAAAAATCTTAAAGAACGTTCAATTCTACCGAAAAAGTTAGACCAGTACATTATTTCTAACTCACCCTGTTATTTTGATTTTTTTTAAAAGCAATTAAAGTTATGTTTGATATGTAGTAATAAATGTTATTATAATATATTTGTAACGAAAAAATTACCAATACATATTTTGAATAAAATGGAATAGAATTTTTCATATTAGGAAACAAATGAATCTCTCAAATTTCTAAAATACTCAGTGGCGCGTAATTCTGAAGTTCTTGACGCAGTGTCTACCAGTCTCTTCACCAATAGTGTACATCAATTATCTTCAAAGTTATTTAGGTAAATTTCAGATAATAAAACATTTAACAAAATAAACTCTGACCCCTTACACTGTTTAATAGTTTCAAAAAAGACGTATCACTTTAAATAGGATATGTATATATATATTAGTACCAAAAAGGTTGAGAATATAGAGAACAAAAATTGCAATTTATCTGCAAAAGGGCTGCCTGCTTTCTGCGACTGAGTGACTTAATAGGCGAAATTATTATTTTAAGACAGACTAAACTTATAGTACAGTTATCTGCAAACCTGAGCCACTCTTCAACAAAATAGTCTTATAGGTAGGGGACAGGAGTAGGAAATTGGCAAGTTTCGCGGTAGTATCTCTTATCTTCCTCTTCATTTGAACATATGCTAAAATAAGTATATGAAGTCTATGTTTGCCACCCTTAGATATTTATAAAAGGAGGTGGCTCTGACAACTATGTTTTGCGTCAAGAACGTTGATGTTAAACCAAATGTAGAATGTGAAGAAATCAGGTGTCGCCTTTGGAATGAGGCTGTCAGGATGATGCCTCTTCTGCAGACAGACACTGACAGCATTTCTCCTGAGTTTGTGTTTGACAGGCTCTACACAGTACTCATCAAAAATAAGGAGGAAATCGCCAATGAGGGTGTAATTAACATCTTCACTGACGGATCAAAAAGGAAAGAAGGTACAGGATGTGGGATCTATTTTAGATCCCTACACATCCGATATCAGTGGGCTATGGATGTACGTGCCACCGTGATACAAGCGGAACTGGCAGGTATAACCATAGCCGCCCGCAAGCAGATAATGGTGCAATGGCAATAAAGAAGCTGACAAGCTAGCTAGGAGAGCATCGGGTCTTATTATTTTTGGTCCCTCCAGTGTACTCTCGTTGTCAGCACTTTTTTAAATGATTAAGGAAAGCATCCCAAAGAGTTTAGAACACGGTGAGAAGAAATAAACAGCTGTCGATTTGCTAAGGAGTTCTTAGGATACTTCAGCAAAGATACAGTCAAAAAGTACATGGCTATATCCAGGGTAAGCCTTCGCTTGGTGACGGGTATTCAGACCGGACACTGTTGGCTAAGGAAACACCTCTACAATATAAGGAAGTGTGAAACACCCCTCTGTAGAGGTTGTGAGCACGAAAACGACATAGTTTTCCACGTACTCTATGAGTGCACTGGTTCTCGTCAACGAGAAGAGGAGAATGATGGCATTCTATGGCCTACATCAGAGAAATCCCCCTGAGCAACGTCATCACCTTTTTCTTCTTAATAGGTTAGTTGACGGCTTAGAAGAGCTAATCTAGAAGGATAAACAAGAGGCCTAATGGGGCCTAAGTGCTGTAACTCAATATACTGACTTACTCTCCAAATTATTCCAAAATCCAGAAGTATAAGTCAGTCAACTTTTTTTATTTTTTATTACTGTTTTATATTAGCTTTTTATTTCTGAATTATTCACTTTCGGGAAGAAACTGTATTTTTGTAATGTACCAAATTCATTATCGGAGATTTATGACTGAAGTTGTTCGGGAATTTTATAATTTTATCAATTTTTATGTGAATTTCAGGAGAATCGACAAAGTTACTTTGATTATTATAAAAGGAGTGCGTTAGTTTATATGTTTATGCGATTGTTAAATGTGAATTTTAGAAATTTATTAAAATAAAAAAATCCATCTGTATATTTACTACAATATACTGACTATCTACCTCCACAAGTTGTACTAGAAATTGACTAGATAGCTGAAAAGATAAACCGTATTCGCTTTGACAGTTTATATTAATTCGAAAATCATTTTACTACTAATGTAGCAACATGCTTAATATATTTAGAAATGTTGCCTTGAATTTATTATTTTATTTATTTTTTACTTAAATGGGTTACATCAACCTTGGAGACGATTATTCTTCAAGTTACAGAACTAGATTATTGTTTGTACTCAGCAGTCCTTTAAGTTTAGTGAATTATACAGGGTGATTCAGAACTTAAAAAAAATTGAATGTACAGGGGACTCTTACAAATACAATTTTATAAAAAAAAATCAAAAAGGGCACTTCGAAAATGATTTAAAAAATATATTTCTGCACAGCACTGTTTCTGGTCCACTGTAAAACCTAACCTTGCGCAAGGCGAAGCATGCAGTCGGCGACCGGCACGGCGGCAAAGTGTAATAAAAAATTAACGGACAAAATATTGAAAGAATTTCTTTCCTAAGGAAAGATATAAATATAATTTTATAAAACCTATTTTATATCGGCAAATTCCATTATTTTTGTAGCTTTTGTTATTATTAATTGATAAAATTAATTTGTGGTTTTAATTCAAAAGATATCGAAGTAAACTAAACGATTTGATGAAAATAACGAAGCAAAATTATTTTAAATTAAAATTAGAGATAAATAAAACAAAAAAGAAGAAGTGTGGCGTTGTATAAATTCTATTTATGGTAAACATATAAAAAATAATGAAATAAATGAAATAAGAGATGAGGAGGGACATATACATAAAGAACATAAAAACTTTGCCAACCAATTTGTGAATTATTTAACAGGTGTTGGTAAAAAATTAGACGAACAGATAGTTAAACCTCATAATCATACTAATAACAATAAAACATTTATACCGAATATCCACTCAATGTATTTATTTCCTGTTGAAGAGTATGAGATATTAAGTATTATAAGGGGTTTAAAAAATAAAAAGCTCCAAGAATTGATGGTATTCGAGAAGAAACTACTAATTTATTTGATAAACAAATCATTTGATGTAGGAATATACCCAGATATTTTAAAACAAGCTATAATAAAACCGCTTTTCAAAAAGGGTGACAAACGTGAAATGATTAATTACATACCTATTTTGCTTATTACAACATTTGCAAAAATGTTTGAAAAAACAATTAAAAAAAGGTTAGTTAATTATTTAGAAAAATATAATATTATAAGTGAATATCAGTTCAGGTTCAAGGAGGCTAAGTCAACAGAAGATGCGTTATTAAGACTAACTACTCAAATTCATCAAGCAATTAACAATAAAAAACCTACACTGTGTATATTCGTTGATTTAGCTAAGGCATTCGACACAGTTAGTCATGTGGAATTACCACGTTTATTGGGAGAAATTGGTATAAGAGGAAAACCGTTAAGTTTGTTTGAAAGTTACCTAACAAAGAGGTTATAGTGTATCAAAATAGGAAATTCATTGGGTGATTTCAAAGAAGTAGACTACGGTGTTCCCCAAGGTACAGTTTTAGGAGGAATAATAATAATAATTATTATTATTATTATTATTATTTTTTAATAAAAGAAATTGACATGCCTGGTATTACAACTGTTCAAAATTTTGTTTTCTGTAAACACATTTGGCCCCATCGTACCCAGTTTCTACAAACTAACACACACGTTGTCTTACTTTAACATTACACAAACACACCATAAGACAAATGTTGTCTTGCTTTACCATAACACAAATGCTTCACCACAACACAAATGTTGTCTTGCTTCACCATAACTACTACAAGTACTACTATCGCCAAAATGTTAATACTAAAATCGGATTTCTGTATTCAGCATCGCCTGGGGCCACGTGGAGAGAGAGAGAGCGAATTGCGTACAGCGCACAGCGCTAATGACGCTAGAGACTAAGTAGCGCCCAGCGATGTAGAGTTTGAAACTGTACAATTTCAATAATTATTTTCTCGGAAACTATAAGTATTTTAAATATAGGGACACACTGTAGAATCAACTATAATTATTTTTTTCGCAAAAATCTATTTACTATATACAACATACGGTACAACAGTGTCTGTAAATATAAACAACATAAAAAACAAGATTTTTTTAAATTAAAAATTGGTATTTCCCACATAAATTCAAAAATTAATAACGTCTATATTATTAGCATTACAGAAACAGAAATATTAATATAATTATAAAATTTGTATGTATTTGTAATCTAGGAGTATGTTTAACGCAGCTCAGGAAACGCGAATTGGACGCATGTTTGAACTGAGAATTAATTCATATCTACCCCAGCTTGCCTCATCATACCAAAGAAAAGCCCTTCTTCGTTCTCCATTAGGGCATCTGGAGTATCGTATTCAATTATTTGTCCTCCGTCTACCACCATAACCTGCAAAAAAATTTAAAGGAACACTCGTTCAGAAATTAGTTTATATATGACACAGGAATACATGTAGATATCTAAAGAAAGATAATATATCCTAAATATGTTTGTACAATAGTTCTCTTGAAAAAAATATCGGGTATAGGTAGTTTATTTTATTAACATTACTTTCCCTGTTCCTTTCATAATATTGAACCTATACAAAAGACTTGACTTTAATCAATGAATGAATTCAGACTTTTTAATCTGTGGGTACACATGCCGCAAGTGATCCATTTTTAAGCATTGCGTCAAGAGCGCCAGCAGGACGCCGCCGGACGCACCAGCATTCCAGGAAGGGTCTACGGCGGACTGGCGCCGGCGACCAAATGCGTACTCATATACCTACGACCGACTCCACACACAGGGACTCTCCAGCGAACATTCGCCCCGTCAACACGTCTTTTTCTATACAACTTAGTTTTCAACAAAATACTTTATTAATTGCTCGGTTATACACGCTATGATATAAAGCAATAATACATTCGATATATTACTATCAACAAATAATGCAAGTTATGTACATAAAATTACTACTGATAGTGAATTCGCTTTCGTAACTTAGAATACAATGCTTTGTTATCATAAAACAAACTGCGTTTTGAATCGGTAGACTCGAGAAAACACTAAACGTGCGGAAGTTTATTAAAAGATATTTTGAGATCATTGCACGCACCTCGGCGTGCTTTTGGATTGGGGACGCGACTTTATTTAGTTTCATTGCTTTATTTCTATTTTGTTTTGTAATTGACGCGCGTTACATCATTATTGGATATTAGATGTGTCTATCGTGACGTACTTTTTAAGGTGCAGAAGGTCTAGTTTGGCAAAGGTTATTTGATAAATTCACTTATTGGCACAATTAATGGCATTGACTGACGGTCTGCGATCAACTACAGTTTTTACGAAATAACTGACATGAAACGAAATATTGCGTTTCTGTTTATAGTAAGAGACTGAGTTTGTCAGTATTTTTTTAAAGTTTCTCTTTTTCCGTAGTAAAATCATGATGTAAGCTTTAATTTCTTTTGTAAGAAAATAATCCAAATCGAAGCCTGCAGGTGTAACTTTTTATGCTGATACTTAAGTGTGGCGTAATGTTAATAAAAACGTAAGAATCGGCAAGACAGGCGCAGGAAAGAAAAAGAAGAAGAAGGCGCCGTCTAAGAAAAGTAATCTTAGTGTAGATCAGGGAGACTAGACAAGGAGCACGAATTCAAACGGGAAAATTGACAAAATTCACGAAGAGTGAACCGCGGCGACCGACGACGAGAACACCCAGATCGCGTTCGCAAGACCGATCGCGAAGCCGTGACAGTGACAGTGGTCAGTGCTGGTATCACCAACGTTTTGGTGACCGTGCCCGCGCGTGCCGCGATCCGTGCACGTATCGTCCGGGAAACGAGACGAGCAGTCGATGATGGCGAGCAGCGACCCGTGCCCGATTCCGCGTCGTTTGTACGTTACGGATACGTACTCCAAGGTCCAGTTTCTCGTCGATACGGGTGCTGATCTTTGTGTATATCCGCGTGCGCTAGTGAAATCGTCGCGATTGAAATCGACGTACGAACTTTCCGCGCAAATGGTACCTCAATCGCTACGTACGGCACAGTGACAATGACATTAAACCTTCGGTTGCGTCGTTGTTTTACATGGCAATTTGTCGTCGCGGATGTCTCTAAACCGATAATTGGTGCAGACTTTTTATCTTTTTATGGACTACTGGTGACGTGCGCAACAAAATACTACTTGACGAAACAACGCAAATTACGGCGCAAGGCCAACTCGCGCAATCCGCGACACCGTCAGTCAGAACGATTTCCGGGGAATCCGTGTTTCACCGCCTGCTCAAGCAGTATTCGGACATTACGCATCCTGCAGCTCCTTCGGCGGCTGTATAACACCAAACCAGGCACTACATCGAAACAACACCTGTTCCCCACAAAATTAAGGAGTACGTCGGTGGACAACACGGCCTCACACTAAATCGTATCAAAATACCCGACACGAACGCGACTGTATTTTGTGACGTATCTATGGACGTGGCCCGGCCGTTTATCACCAAGGCATTTCGTAGGGTAGTGTTCGACTCGGTGCATCGCCTTTCGCATCCACAGCGAGAATAAAACGCTCTCTCAAAGGTAATAATAAAGTATTTTATTGAAAACTAAGTTGTATAGAAAAAGACGTGTTGACGGGGCGAATATTCGCTAGAGAGTCCCTGTGTGTGGAGTCGGTCGTAGGTATATGAATACGCATCTAGTCGCCGGCGCCAGTCCGCCGCAGACCCTCCCTGGAACGCTGGTGCGTCCGGCGGCGTCCTGCTGGCGCTCTTGACGTAATGCTTAAAAATGGGTCACTTGCGGCATGTGTACCCACAAATCTATCATAATAATTATAATACACATTTTTTCTCAAATATTTGTGTTTACGTTACAAATATGCTAATGCTAACTAATATCATCATATATTTGTTGATGTTTCTAAATAACTAAAAAACAAATTTGTAATTAATACATTACTCACCATATCTGAATTAGAAACTGTATTCAACCTATGTGCTATTGTGATGACCGTGCAGTCCGCAAAGTTCTTTTTTATGGTATTTTGCAACGTTGTGCATGTTTCTGGATCCATGCTGGCCGTGGCTTCATCCAGAACTATGACTTTGTTCTTACTGACTAACGCCCTGGCAAGACACAAAAGCTGTCTCTGTCCGGAACTGTAATTGGTACCCCCTTCCTGGATCTCCTCTTCCAAGTTACCCACTATGTGTTTTAGGTTCACTTTTTCGATCGCCTCCCATATGATCGCGTCTGAATATCTTTCGGTTGGATCTATATTAGTTCTGATGGTTCCTGAAAGTGACATCATTTGAAACCATAGTGAAGACATTTCCTTGTGGTACTAATAATACATGTGGAATAGAAGAATGATTGGTTGCGCCAAAGGAAGTGACATAAGTCTTACTTTTACAAATATTATTTGCAATGTACGTGTATGATCTTCTCAAAACACAAGTAGTACAGTCATTGAAGCTGAAAATCAGCTGTAACCTCCGAATTCTTTGAAACTGCATGGATTTGCATGAAAATTTAGAATAAGACTCATCTTAGGCTCAAGTTCAAAAGTGACATAAGCCCGATTGACGATTTTTGTTTTTTAGGGGTAATTACTACCCCTAAGCGAAAAAAATTTAAAAAATTAAGTTTTAAGCATTTTATTGATAAAAATCTTGTTCAAGCACTAAAATTAAATAATGTTCCATGTTCTCGAACATATTTTATGATATATTTGAACTTTTCGACCTTTTATTTAACCCTTAAAAACTACCCCTATGCAAAAATAATGATAAAAAATTACTTTTTAAAGATTTGGAATGATTAAATCGTGCATTTATTTAAAATAAAAGTTACCTTATAGCTAATAAAAGAATTTTTCCCTTTCAACCCCTAAAAACCACCTCTGTATTGACAGAAATAATAAAAAATTACTTTTTAAAAGCTTGGAATGCTTTAACGGTGCAATTACTTAAAATAAAAATTCCCTCATTGCTTATGAAAGAATTTGTATCTCATGACACTTTTCAACCCTTATAAATCACCTCTGTGCTAAAAAAATGATAAAAAATTACGTTTTAAATCTTGGAATGCCTGAATTGTGCAATAATTTAAAATAAAAATTCCCTTACATTATTTATGAAAGAATATTTTACTTTTGCCATTTTCAACTCTAATAAACTACCCTTTTATTGGTAATATTGGTATTAATGTAAAATATTTTTATTATAATCGATTTTTAAATATAATCAATCATAAAAAAATTGGTACGCTGCATATAAATAATCACAATATTTTTTTTTACTTATTTTATTTGTATAATATTTAAATTTAAATATAAAAATCCTAACATTTTGCTCCAAAAATGAGAAAGCCTATTTTACACTGAAAAAATGTCATTGGTTTTTTTACCATAACTCGGTTAATTTTGAAGCTATAGTGTCCTACCAAAAAGCATTTTAAAGATAATTTTAAGAGCTGTAAGATCGTTTGCATATAAAACCATTTAAGTAGGTACTTCACTTCCTTATGCTATAGGAATAAAAAAAAAGCAAAATATTTGTTGAAAAAAAAGCTATATTTTTGTTGTCTATCATTTTTTACGTATCTTTCATAGTTTCAGAGTTATTATATAAATAAGGCAATTTTTTTGAATACTGAAAAATACGTTTTCAACTTTTACCGTACATTATTAAAAAAATACGCATTCTAAACAGGATCGTATGAAAAACACTAAAACAAAATTGATTGTAAAGGGTCTACGATTAATTTGAACTCTGATATAAATGGTACAGCGTTTACCACTCATGTTTCCTTAAAAAATATGAGCAACTCATCTGTTTTTGACAATAACTCCTTCAATTCTGCTCTAATTAACTTTTATAAGCGTTAGTACTACAAAAAACTCCAGGAGCGTTATACTCGTTAAATTAATCCTTTTTCCGTTATTTGACGTTGAATACATCGATTTGAGTATTCTCCCCAAAACAAGTCCCCTTCCACTAACCATATTTCGCTTTGTATAGGACGTACAACACTTTTTAAAATAACGAATTTCTTTGTTTGTTTATAGGCTAGAATTTTATTCATTACATTTTTTTTTAATAAAATGCGTAGTTTTTGAGTTATTCGCGAAAAATACTTTGAAAAAGTGTTTTTTTTGCACTCAAAATTCCAAGATTTCAATCGGAATAACTAAAAAACTATTGATTTCTCAAAAAAATTCTTCGAATATTTTTCGCTCAAAATTTGATTCTCTTTCGATTTGTCACTAATGTTCATTGACCTTTTGTCTAATTATATGCCAAATTTCAAGTCAATCGGTTTAGTTTCGAAGAATTCGGGTGAAAAGCTTCAATGACTGTACCAAAGACTGTATTAGACATTAGAAGATGATTGTTTAATATTATTATTAAGATTTAAACAAACAAAAGCATCTAGGGAATCGCAAAGTTTCACTAAATAGAAAATTACTAAAAATACTTGCCTACATACCTGTAAATAATATTGGGTCTTGTGGAATAATAGCAATTTTTGATCTAAGGAAATCCAAATTAAGCTTTTTAGTATCAATGGAGTCTATAAAAATCTGGCCTTCAAAATCATATAATCTAAACAGTGTCGAAATAATTGAAGACTTCCCTGCTCCTGTCCTACCAACTATCCCTATTTTCTGTCTAGGTTCCACAACGAAACTAATATTTTTTAGAACTCTTTCTCTTGTTGTGCTATATGTAAGTGAAACATTTTTATATTCGATTCTTCCCTGATTAGGCCAGTTTTCAATTACTTGTCCGACTTTTTTATCCTCCCTTTCGACGTCTGCGTATTCCAAAACTCTCTCCACGGATGTCATATTATTTTCCAGTTCGGAAATTTGTCGGATGGTCCATTGCAACAACCCCATCAAACCCATGGCCTGCGAAACGGCCAAACCTACATCCCCAGCATTTGCGCCTGGAAACAGGTGAAGATTTACGTTGCTAAATCAAGCAAATATACAGGATGTCATCTATGTAAGTGTTATACACTTAATGTAAAAGAATACCGAAAAAATAAACACAAAGGTCTTGTACGACATAAAATCTAAGTCTGTTCATTTCAAAGAGAGCATACATTTTTATAAAAAAGTGACATGTTTATTCGGATTGCTATACCGTGACCTATGTCACTAGTTAGACTTACATTGTATTTCCTTAGCTTTGCTAGAAATCTTTTATACGCCCTTGTTGTTCTCGGGCTAAGGTGCATACCCGCTATCAGGATCCGTAACTTAATTCAAAAGACATATATTTTATTAGTAACTCTCACATTTTTTTACTCTTTTTAAAGGCATTAAGCTGATTCAAACATATTAAATGATTGCTGAAGCCAAACCTGAATTTAAACTTAAAAACTATTATATTAAAAGCTTCTAATGAAATTTTACCAAATACTTTGTTAAAGCGTTGGGCAGCACCTTGAAGACATCTAAATATCATATTTCTTATCGATTCAATTACTTATATTCCATCAGAATTAACTAAATAGTTCAAATAATTATTTCTCGTCAGTCTTCTGGAAAACATGTACTGCTCATACATTAATAGAAAATTTGTATTAAATCTCATGTGACTTATAGTCAGCCTAGGAACGCATACTATAAATATTAAGCATACCGTCGCGTATAAAAGAAACCCCATATGTAACTAAAATTGTATTGATAAAATTATTGCAATTTGTTTCTAAAATATACCTACAGAAATTATGTTTGTGAGGAAAATATGTTACTGTCATCGCTAACACTCATTAAACATGTTGAGTGTTAGCTAATTATTGTTTGTGTTTTTTTTTTGGTAGATGGTAGCTGAGTCAATTTCAAACATTTTTTCTTATATGGACATAAGTCCGATTCGTGTTTATTTAGAAATTACGAGCATTTTAAAAAATATAGTTTCACATTTGAATCAAAATGACCTGATAATTAATAATAATGGTTGCTATATAACTTTACAACTGAAGAGTTATGCAGTATGTCTTTGAATATGGGTATTCCAATGGGAATAGACATCAACCTGGCCACTCAGTCTTTAGTGCATCATTTCGTAAACTTCGAGAGAAAGGTAACCCCGCTCCAAAAAAAGCTATTTATCCTACTGAATGAATGTACAAAATGAAGCAGATATAATAGATGCTGTCATTGACAACGCTTCAATTAGTGTTCGACGTATAGCAAGTAATCTTCGTTTATCGTCGAATTTTGTATTATATTTTTGTATTGTCATGTGCTCTGATGAAGCGTGTTTTACTAGGGACAATATAAATAATAATCATAATGAACATATCTGGGCATTACAAAATCCGCATGCAATTAGATCAAGACGATTTCAGCAACACTTCAGTCTCAATGTTTGGAACAATAATTCACTGCCTGTACATATATTAAATGATCGTTTAAATGCAGATCTGTATAGAAGTTTCTTGGAAAACAACCTTTTTCGGACCTATGTTCATATAAAGAAAAAGTTTGAAATTAACCCTGCTACCATCTGTCAAAGTTTGTCATAGAGCTTGTACAACACCCTGTATGTACGGAAATTTGTCATTGTGGTTAGGGAGAGGAACAGCATTGCCAGTACCTATAAAAATATTCCTTATCTATACAGGGTGTTAAAAAAAGAGCGTAAAATATTTCAGGAGGTAATAGTATGAACACATGGGTCCGCAAAGTAACGGTTGCGGAGATATGGACCACTATTCGTTTTTCAAACATTTTATTTTATTAGGAATAAACCGACAAAGGAAGCTTTTAACGAACAAAAAACAAAGTTACAGAAGATGTTCAAAGTATCCTCCGTCCATTTCCAAGCAGGCACGACATCTTCGTCTCAACGAGATTCGAACTCTTTCGAAAACACCCTCCTTAGTTTGGATTTCTTGACACTTTTGATTAATCCATAGCTGCAGCTCTTCCAGGCTATTTACAGGAGTACCATACACTAATATCCCCAAACAAAGAAATCTAGAGGGTTCAGATCAGGCGATCTTGGAGGCCATAAAACAGGTCCGGCCCTTTCTACCCATCTATGTGGAAAAGTTTGGTGTAAATGCTCTCTAATGGCCATGGAAAAATGAGCTGGAGCACCATCATGCTGGAACCACATTTGTTGCCTCTGATTCAAAGGAATATCTACCAAAAACTCATACAGTGTGTTCTGCAGAAAGTTGAGGTAAGCAGCGCCTGTTAATCGGTTTGGTAAAACAATAGGACCTAGAAACCTGTCACCTACAATACCCATCCAAATGTTTAATGAAAAACGTGCCAGATGTCCAGATTCTATTAGAGCATGAGGGATTTCGTCGGCCCAAATATGCGTATTGTGAAAATTAAACACTCCATTTCTTGTGAACCCGGCCTCATCAGTAAAAAGAATGTTTGCAAGAAAACGGGGGTCTTCAGCATAATGACGTAGAAACCAGCGGCAAAAAACCAAACGTGCTTGATGATAATTTATTGGATTTAAGGCCTGTACTCGTTGCACATGGTATGGATAAAGCAGTTGCTCGTGAAGGATTCTCCAAACAAGAGGACCACTAATTCCTACCTCGGCTGATATTCTCCGCACACTCGTACCTGGATTCTGCTCTACCAGTGCTAGAATTTCTTCTTCTGCTCTAGGAGTGGATACCGACCTTGGTCTTCCGGATAAATGGCACTGTTTGCTCAAGGAACCGGTATCACGCAATCTTTGGTGAATTCTTCCAAACATGCGTTGTGAAGGAATCTGGCGATTTGGATAAGCGTCAACATAAAGACGTCGCGCTTCGGTGGCGTTCCCATTAGCACAACCATACATGAAATGCATGTCTGTTAATTCTGCGTTAGAGTAACCAGCCGTAGCGAAAGAAAACTTGTGCACTGAGAACAACTGTCAAATACGTACTGTTTATTTCACTAAACATCAACCAACTATTATAAGAAAATACACAACGTTTTTGCAAAATAAAAAGAGGGGCTAAAAAACATAAAATATTCCATATCTCCGCAACCGTTACTTTGCGGACACATGTTTATTGAGACTTTTCTGCTTATTTTGGTTAATACTATTACCTTCCTAAATATTTTACACTCTTTTTTAACACCCTGTATATCTGCAGCGTAAATTGAACCAAAACTTACCGTTGTCAAACACTACGAACTTGAGTACTACACCAGCTATAAATGTGCTGCAAATTATATCAACGACAAAACCAAAAGCCCGGTTAGTACATTGCATCATATAGTACGAAGAGGTATATAAATCCTGATGCATGTCAAACTCGTCAATCAGTAGAGTTTGTTTTTCGTAGGCTCTAGCGGTGGTTAATCCCTCCATAGTTGCATTCAAATAGCCAATCATTGGACTTCTAGCTAGAAATAGAGTAGTCTAGAAAGTTTATTAGATATTAGATTTTTTTTAAATCGAGAATTTGTTAGAAAGAGAATAAATGACTTATTTGTTTTCTAAATCGATATCACAATTTCAAAAATTAGATAATTTAGACCAAAAAATCTTAATATATCAGCAAAAGTGGCAATATTCCCATCATGAAAGTTCCCTTTGTGAGCATAGGAGTTACTCCCTAAAAACGGTATTGTCACATTCTTCATTATCAAAATACAGGGTGTCTCGCATAAGAACCGACATAGGGCAGCATGTAGGGGTGTCCAAAATATTGTAATTTAATCAAACTTACCTATATACAAAGTTGCACCCCTGAGGAGTTATTAGCCCCCAAAGTGGTGCCCTAAATTTCGAAAAAAAAATAGTATCTCTGCAACACTTTACCGTAGAAGAACATTATTTAGGTTTATTACTGGTCTTCTTTGACTTTGATTTAAAGTTAATTGAAGCACTACAAGGTGTTCATTGGGGATGACTCGCAACTAAAATTGTACCGAACTTATTTTTCATTGACCGAATTGAAAAAAATAGTACTTAATATTAATTCATAGCAGAATTTAATTTAAAATTTTTTATACTCTTGTTAAATTTTAAAAAATTTTTGGGTTTCAAGAAAAACCGTATTAACTGACACAAGATTTTAACATTATAACATTAACAACCATTTAACATAAAATGAGAGTGCCAGGCTCACCTAGAGCTCCTGTGGGGAAAGAGCATGGCAGAGAAACCCACGATCGTTGCTCTAACTACCCAAATATAAACACAAAACAACCGCTAACAAAAGGCATAAATTAAGATCCTTTGCTAATGATAAATAACACCCGACTTATTTAATGTCTCACTAAATGTCATCTCACTCAAATTAGACATATACATACTTCCAAGTAAAATTGAAGAGGTTATAATAATAACAACAACAACAACAATAACAACAATAATAATAACAATAATAATAAGTAAGGTACTGGAGTCCCATACGGAAGGCAATCCAGCTATGAGTTGACATTTCGGAGGATCTGTTTTAGCAATTCTTTTTTTTGTATTTAATTATTCTTTTTACAGATTCATTCCTCACGGGCGAAAATGTTACTAAATTCAACAAAGCTCTTATATGCGTATGACATAAAGTGAGCACAAGAAATGTTTTATTACTTGTTTTTCGAACAACGTAATCATGACAAAACAAGTTAAATGTGAAACAAAGGAGTTGTTATTGCAATATCTGGGCAGTCAGGACAATATATACATATTTTAACATGTAATAAATAATGAGCAATCGCTAATAATAATTGTTACGTTAGAAAAATATACGCCCCTGAGCATAAAACAATGAAGGCTAAACATATACAGAATTATTATCATTAAACATCTATAATCATCACAATCATAAGATTACCGGTTAAACACTTTTTATTTTTCACTACTTATGTATTTTCACCGTACACCGATCGTCTTACTTTTCACTCTCCACTCTCCTCACTTCCACTATTTAGGCTTCCGTCCAGAATTCCCCACCTAAGCGTTTGTTTTTTGCTCTACCTTCTACCAACTGTCAATATTACGTTTTCATTATTGTGCAACACCCATGTAACAGGTGACGTCGAAGTTGATACGATAAGTATGGTTTTGCACAAAACTTGTCAGTTAGTAATAAAATTATTTTATTTCAACAATTGCCTCTAATTGTTGTTGAAAAAAATATCAATTATTATTTCTATTATTTATTTGTGTTGTTTACTTAATACAATATTCGCTTATTTAAAAACTACCTAGGTACTTGTTTTATTTTTGTAGAATTAGGAGAGAAGTGAAGAAAAATGTATTTGCCAAATTGTCAAATTTGAAAGATAAAGCCTACTACTGACTTTTTGGTTATTTTCTAATGAACACTGTTAAAATCTTGTGTCAGTTAATACAGTTTTTCTTAAAAACCACAAAGTTTTGTAAAATTTAACTAGAGTAAAAAAATTAAATTAAATTCTGGTGCGAATTAATATTACTATTTTTCAATTGTCAATGAAAAAAAGTTCGGTACAATTGTAGTGCTTCAATTAACTTTAAATCATAGTAAATTTAGGGCCCCACTTTGGGGACTCAGGACTGCAACNTAACTAGAGTAAAAAAATTAAATTAAATTCTGGTGCGAATTAATATTACTATTTTTCAATTGTCAATGAAAAAAAGTTCGGTACAATTGTAGTGCTTCAATTAACTTTAAATCATAGTAAATTTAGGGCCCCACTTTGGGGACTCAGGACTGCAACTTTGTACATAGGTAAGTTTGGTTAAATTACAATATTTTGGACACCCCTACATGCACCTGCCCTGTGACGGTTCTTATGCGGGACACCCTGTATAACCACTCTAATTTTCACCCATTGTGAATCAGAGATCTAACACTATTTTCTTTAGAGATAAAAAAATGTCGTTTAAAAAAGATCGGATTTTTTTAAATATCATTGGAAATGTTTAACATAAGTTGATAAAACTTACGCTGATAATATATTTAATGAAAAGAAAAAATTCACTAAAGTGATATAAAAATGTGTCAACCAGTAGAGGAAATTTGCAGAGGGGTCTTACTGTCCTAATATCTTCCCTATGTATTTCGGAAACTGATTATGTGCATCTATTTCCTAATGTTGTTTCTAAGAGAACTCTGCATATAATAATAATTAAAAAAATTATGTATATGCAGGGTATTCCTGAAAAGGATGGACAACGCTTGACCACAGATTCCTTGGATTCCTGAGATATAGCCTTCTAAATATAGAACAGATAATCTAGTTTTTTGCAAATAATTTGAAAACTGTTTTTCTTAGAAACTTCAAATTTGGTACACATATTTTTTTATATAAGGGCAATGTAAATATAGAATTTGGTGAGAATACATATACAGGATGTTCTCTTTCTAGTGCCTGTGCGCCACTGGCTATCCCGTAACTTTTTTGTATGTACGCCAATGACGACAGAATTTATATTTTTAAAAATAAGCACTATTTTAGAAGATTTTTTGCCTCTTACAAAATTTTGATATCGTTTATGGATTTCGAGTAAAATTGGCATTTTTTACACATTAAATAATATAAAATCAGTTTAAGATAAATAGAACATTCTAGTACGAGGTGCCATATAACAGAGAAACAAATTCATAACAATAATTAAAAGGTTCTGTGTCAAGCTAGCTGTGATTTAATTTTAGCTTACTTTGTTTTTTATTGCAATTTATACTTTTGCTGAACAAACTGATATGTTAGTAGTTTTGGGTTATTGTGAAGGAAATTGTTGTGCTACTGTTCGAACATATGCTGAAAGATTTCCTAATCGAAGAACTCCAAATCACAAAACATTTGCTAATGCGGAGAGACGCCTTCGGGAAACAGGACGTTTTTTACCTGTAACATTAAATCGTGGATAATGTACGGCCGGAATTATTCAGCTGGAGGAACAAATTTTGGAAAGGGTCGAAGAAATTCCTCAAGTAAATAAAAGGCGTTTAGCGGCAGAGGTTGGCTTTCAAAAAGTTCCTTTAATAGAGTATTAAAAGACCAGTTATTACAGGTTACAGGTATTACAGGGTACAGGTAGGTATTACAGGTTATTAAAGGTCTAACAGGTGGATAGGTAGAGGAAATAATGCCCCTTTAAAATGGCCACCTCGATCCCCGGACCTAAACCCATGTAATTATTTCATTTGGGGAGCGTTGAGGACCACAGTTTAAAATAACTTTTCAGTAAATACAGAAAACGAATATGGGAAAGAATACAACATGAAATTAATGTTATGAGAGGTAATGCACAATTATTGGATAATTTCTAATTTTCGAAGAACTAATGTTTGCGTTTAAGAACAAGAAAGTAACTTTAAGCATTTACTGTAATATTATTTTAATGTGATTACAAATATCAGTTTATTTAAAATGTTAATGTTGACTTTCTTACATTATTAGTGATATTGTTTATTTAAAATATTAGTGTTGATTTTTATTTTACTGATTAATACCAAAAATGTGTAATTATTTTTTTTTTAATGTGAGGTTTTTTCATTATTATTCCCTGCTTTGAGGCTGCAGTTATAAATTATTTTTTATAAATCGGAATTTTTGCCTATATTTAATGTATCAAAAATGCGAATTTTACTCGAAATCCATAAACGATATCGAAATTTTGTAAAAGCAAAAAAATCTTCTAAAATAGTGCTTATTTTTAAAAATATAAATTCTGTCGTCATTGGCATACACACAAAAAAGTTATGGGATAACCAGTGGCGCACAGGCACTAGAAATAGAACATCCTGTATATGTATTCTCTCCAAATTCTATATTTACCTTGCCCTTATATAAAAAAGTAAGTGTACCAAATTTGAAGTTTCTAAGAAAAATAGTTTTCAAATTATTTGAAAAAAATAGGATCTATTCTATATTTAGAATGCTATATCTCAGTAGGCGTGCACTTTTGTATATAGGTAAGTTAGGATAGTCTTATTTTCATCCAAGGAACCTGTGGCCAAGCGTTGTCCATCCTTTTCAGGAACACCCTGTAGAAATGTTTGACTGTAAAAATTCAAAAAACAATTATTTCTATAAAAATGTTTAATTATCTTTGGAAAGCTGCCAAAAAATATTAAAATGGCAATTATTTTTTTAAACTCTGGTTCTTAAAATTATGTTTTGAACAAAAATATTTCTCCGTCTATAAGTTAAACATCATCAAATATCGAGAAATATCTTTTATTTTGAGAACCAGTAGGTAGTTTTGGATCTTGTTCACTAAGATTTTTTTTAATTCTAAAATTTCCTAGAAACAACATAGATAGTAGAAAACACACATGTAAAAAAGTAATTTAAAAGTTATCACAGTTTTAAGTTCTGTATTTTCAATATCCGTTATATACATATTATGTACCAAAATATTTCACCCGTTTGCTTTAAAATATCTATCTGAATTATAAATTGTTCCATCAACTTTAGTCGTATGAATTATTTAAAAAAAAAAATAGTTTTTATTAACTAATACTTACTAGAAGATTCTAATCTTTTTATGGCTCTTCCAGTTGACAAATAGAACCTTCGAACGAAATACAGTTTGATTATAAGAATCGCCGCTGTCAGAAGGAATATCAGATTTACAGAGGCTATCAGGACTATTATGGCAATAAATGCTAGAATACACTAAAACACAATATTTCATTATTAAAAACTACTAAAATCCTTTTACATATTTTACATTTAAAACATTCAAGAACTAAACAAATGTCTAAACGTGATACTAACATTTCATTTTAACCAATATAATATACGAGGTCTGTTCAAAAAATAACCTACCTTTATTTTTATAAACTTTATTATTAATTTTATATATCATTGGTCCTTCTCTCCTACAAAGTACTCCCCTCCCCAATTCATACACTTGTCCCAGCGATGTATCCATTTCGCGAAGTAGTCCTGGATAGCTTCATTTGAAATGACCTTTAAATTTTGTGACGAATTTGCTTTGATGTCATCAATAGTCTGGAAACGGCGTCCTTTCAGCACTGATTTTAATTTCGGAAATAAGGAAAAATCACAGAGCCTGATTTTTAACACAGAACTGATGAATGGACAAAGCTGAAAGTGCGGGCGCATTGTCTGGTGTAAGAACCATGAGCTGTCTCGCTACAACTCTGGTGGCTTTTTGCGGATTTTTTCACGTAACTGCTGTAAAACGCATTGATAGTACACACGGTTTACTGTTTCACCTTGAGACAAGAATTCGAAATGCACAATTCCATCAAAGTCGAAAAAACAGTGAGCTCACTCAATATCGTAGCCATAGCTTTTGTGTCCCATTATGATCCTTTGAATGAATGTTTCATCGTCATTGGATTGTTCAAGGAGTTGTCGACAAACATCCACACGATTTTCCTTCTGTTGTTCAGTCTTCAAACAAGGAACAAATTTTGCTGCAACTCGATGCATGTTTAATTTTTCAGTAAAATTGGCATTACTCAATTGAGATGCAAACCCTATCTGCAACTTCTCTGACAGTCAATCGGTGATTTACACGCACTGGACCTTTGAGTTTTTGAACGTGGGAGTCATCAGTTGAAGTCGAAGATCATCTTCAATGACTAACGACCACTTTTAATCGTGAAAACTACTCGTAACATTGCGTACGACCAAAAACATCATTTCTACTCGTATAAGCTTGTTTTAAAGATTGAAATGTTTCCGTGAATGTTTTCTTCAGCTTTACGTTATATTGTTGTACCAGAATATCACACATTTCGAAAATCGTCACTAATACTTATACACGTTGCACTCAAATAACAATATCACGAAAACTAAATGAGATATCAACAATCCAAGAACATGTGATTACAGAGGAGGTATGCGCAACGCAATGCTGCCAACCGCATATTACTAAATATATTCATTCAAAATTCAAAAGTTAGGTTATTTACTGAACAGATCTCGTGTACAAAATCCACATCAAAGTATTTCTAATAAAAAAAATCGACTAGTAAATTATACAGTTACTTTCGGAATACTTTAATACACATAAATATTGAACACAGCTTCAGTTAATGTATTTTATTTGCCTATTCAGTTTTCTAAGTCATTTTAATTATAAAATGTGATTTTACTTACCCTAAAATTCTCATAAATAATATATGGAATGTATTCGTCAATAACTGCTAGATCTTTAGAAAATCTGTTAATTATGTTACCAATGAAGTGGCTATCAAAGAAAGTCATAAATGAATTGAGCACAGAAGATACTATAGATTTGTGTAGATTCCTCGAAGCCTTTAGGCAGAAATAAAAATTGGAAAAGGACTTCACGAATGTCAGTACGGTACCCACAATTGTTATCACAGTATACAAATTTATATATTTGTGACGTCTATTTAACGTAACCTCATAGTCTGTGGTATTCGTTAAATTATTGACTATGTAGTTTGTTAACTGTGGTTCTATATTAACCCTAAAACAATGATTATATTAAAAATTTGTTTAGGAAGATTTCTTTAAGTTTTTTTAGATAAAACTAGTTGAAATTGAGAGCTATGACTCAGTCCAAGATAAGAAATTTTACATGAAATAATTGGTTAAACAGTTTCTGTTTTAATTTAATCACCTTAGGCTTCTTGGTGATTTCAGAGACATCACCTTCTCCTTCAGGAGAAATCCGAAATGGAGATTAAATCCTTTAGTCTGCATTTATATTTGTTGTGTGTACCTGTCCATACTATTTATGAGTCGTCTCTAAATCTCAGATAGTTGTAAGCTTTCATCTCGATTAAAGTTACCTTACTAAACATACAGGGTGTTGCATGACGTACTGAACAAATTTAAAGAACAAGTCCCTGAGCTCATTCTGAATAAAAAAGTTATAATACACATGGGTTCCATACTCCATGATTACCGAGCTACGGACCTTCACAGTTTAGAAATAATGTTAGTTGACATTAGTCTCGCTAGCTATGACCATGTTAGTTGACAAAACAACTGATAGTTGACACGTCAAAATTTATAAACCTCAGTTTATGTAGTAAACTGTGTGAACGTGTTTCTAGTAATACCTTTTCCATCAACATGACTTTGCTGTTTTCAAACGAGTATGTCGACATAGTTTACATTTATGGATTTTGTGATGGAAATTGGAGAGTTGCCCGTTGAGTATTCATGATTATTTTCAAACAGAAGAGTGCCAAGTCGTCATTTGATTCTGTATTTCGACATCTGCAAACACATTATTCATTTCCAGCAATGTCAACTAACTATGAACGTCCTGAGCAGCAAAATTTGATTGAGCAAGAAAACATTTTGCAGATAGTAGTTGAAGACAGTCCAGGATAGTTAAAGACAGTCCAGAATTAAATACCAGGAAGTACGAACGTTCCTCATTCGAGAGTATGGCAAACATTACATAGCAATCTATTGTATCCTTATCATGCACAACAGGTTCAGCATCTGGAACTTACTTTTACGGATACATTTTTGCCAATGGATTCAAGCAAATCTTCAATTAGTAAGATGTATTTTATTTACCGATGAGTCGCTGTTTACTCGGAGACGGAGTGAATAATATGCACAGTTCTCACAGATGGTCCGATGAGAATCCTCATTTCAAAAAAGAATCTACTTTTCTACGACGATTTTCTATAAATGCCTGGTGTGGCATAATTGATGATCAACTAATTGGTCCCTTTGTGTACAAGAGAAGTTTACACCAACTTTTTACGTAGTAAATTGCCAGGTCTATTGGAAGATATTCCTTTACTTACGAGACAACAAAAATAATATTACAACATGATGAAGCTCCTGCTCATTTTAGTCGACTAATGAAAGGTTATCTTAATGAAAGCTATATAACTATAGGTGGATAGGACGTGGAGGAGCACATTCTTGACCACAGAGGTCACCAGATCTCAATCCTTTATACTATTACCTGTGGGGTGAGTAGATAGGCTACCTTCATTCTGTGACAAAATCCCATGTATTTTCTTATGGAGGTTCATTTTGCAAATTTTTGACCAATTTTACCCCCTCAACTCCTCCTTTTGAC